TAATAATAATATAATCTATAAACTAGTTATAAGTAAAAGTAATTTTATAGTATTTATGTATTTATATTTAAATTTGTATTTGATTTTGATAAGTTTTTACTGAGTTGTACATATTGAGAAAAATTCCAAATAATTTTGGGTACCCCTGTATATGTTTTTATCTTGATTAATAAATTAATTGTCAAATTATTAATAAAAAAATTTTAATTATTTTAATTATTTTTGTTTTAAATTTAAAAATCATAAAATATCTATAATTTTGATAATATATAATAAGAAAAAATAAAAACTTAACAAATTTGTATATCGTAACATAGCATTGTACAGTACAAGGAAAATTTTTAATAAAATTTAGGTTTTAACTTAAAATAGGATAATTCTAATTAAACCCAAATTTATTTATCTGATAAGATTTTGTTCTCATTTTTGCAATCGCAATTATTTCAAAATAATAATAATAATAATAATAAATAATAATAAATAATACATAGCAGATTTAATAAATAAATGACTCCAACCTGATTGAGGGTAAAAAACAAACAAAAAATAAATAGTACATAGCATATAAATTCCATAGCTATTAAAATTGATTACGTTTTTTTAACGAAAAAGCAATGTGCATAAATTTCGACATATTTTTGCTTCTTTAAAATAGCCATCTTGATTTAATTTACCCTTCAAATAAATTTGGTTTTAAGCATCAGAGTAATTTTTGTTTGACGTCATAAAGGATTCCTGATCGTGTTGTCAGCAAAGCCTCGTGAATAACCTTCAACACTCCACTTATAGTAAGATTATGATTAAAACAAATAAATTATACATCTTTTTGCTACTCTTGGCTTAATGATTCGGATTTCACTTAATTAAATTTCCTGAAAATATCAAATAAATAAATAAGTTACTTTGCAAAATTCAAATTTAATCATCTCATATATTTGTCTTCAAATAAATATAAAAAACACCAACATTTTTTTGCAAAACTAATTTTCTTTCCATTCGCCATCAGTCACATCATCATCATCCTCTTCCATAAGAGGTTCAGACATCTCTTGTGTGAACCACATATCTCGATATATCCCATCCTCTTTTTGTATTAGTTGATCGTGCGTTCCATGTTCCGCAATGATACCATCGCGCAGAACAAAGATTTCGTCTTTAATTGAATGAAAGTTTGATTTGGAATTATTTATCATGGTAGAACGTTGTTCTCAAAGCATTCAACAAAAATCCAAGATTTCCACAAATACCTGAATCAGCTATTGATCTCAACCTATGTGCAACAAAAATGCTGGTCTTTTGACTTTCTTGCAGTATACTTCTTATATTTGAAAGCAACGATTGCTCGGTATGTATGTCTAACGCTGATGTGGCTTCATCAAAAAATAAAATCGGTGGATTCTTCAATATCGCCCTCGCTAGTGCTATTCTCTGTTTTTCTCCGCCTGACAACATCAATCCTCGTTCTCCCACCTTTGTTTCATACTTGTCAGGCAGTGACATTATCACATCATGAATATTTGCTTTTTTTGCGGCCAATACCACTTCATCGTGGCTCGCCGTTATTTTTCCATAGGCGATGTTATGATAAATTGTGTTGTTGAATAGTGCGGTATCCTTAATTATTGGATGGATTGTGTTCATTCAGCACGTGCACCATACACTCATAAAAGCAATATTTCCTCTGGAAATAGATCAATCTACCTGAGGTACAACTCCAATGTTAGACCTTAAACTTTTCAATGTAGCCTCTCGGATTTTTTGTCCATCTATATCTATATTTCCAGATTGTGGGTCATAGAACCGAAATAATAACCGCAGTATGGTTGATTTTCTATGTTTTACAAGTGGTAAGATAATAAAAATTGCCAAGGAATATTCTCACAAAGAACTATTTTTGGAACATACCCGCATCCGCTGGGTCCCACTATTGCAGTTTTTTTCCCTCCTTGTGCGACAAAATTGACGCCATTCAATATTGGCCTTTCAGGATGATAACCAAACTTAATGTTGTTAAAGGATATCCCACCACCCTTTAGTATTAATTCCTTTGCATCGGGTGCGTCCTGTTATTGAAATTCCACATGTAAGATTGAAAAAAAATCACCAAAAGGAATCTTTCGACAAGCTTTCTAATTTTTTACCTTAATGGCAATGTTCACATCATTCAATTTAAACAATGCCTCCATGTCGATTAAACTTTGACGCAACTCTCTATAGACCGAGCCAAGAAAATTCAGAGGCAGCGAAAGCTGGAATACAAGTTGATTTATCATAACCAAATCGCCCACGGTCAATGAACCTTTGATTTAATAGATAAAATAGATATTAATAACTTGATGCCGCAAAGATGTTAGAAAAAGTAAATGCATACTCGAGACAATTCCTTGAGCAGCTAGATACATCATGATGGTCAGGGCCGTGCTAAATATGATATTTTGTCCTGAATTCAAGAAGGCTAAAGATGTGGCGAGCTTGAGGGAGGCCTTTTCGTATTTGGACAAAGCCCTATCATATTGGTCAACCTCAAATTGCTCATTATTGAAATACTTGACGGCTTCGTAGTTAATTAAGGAGTCCACAGCCACTGTTGCCGCTTCGTTATCTGCTTCATTTGCCTTCTTTCGAAATCTCGTCCTTTTTGATGTTTGATAAACATACTAATTTTTTTTACAAAAAAAATCCAGTACTCGACAAAGCACATTGAAGTATAAAGCAAAGAAAAATAAAACAAACCGCCATGAAGTTGTTCGAATTGTAAACGCCGTGTAGGACAACATCGTAGCTATCGTCACGGTCGCAAAATGTGCACCAAAATTATAAACCTAGTAATAGAATTAATCATTTTTTTAGAAGGCAGGCTACGGAATGATCAGAGAAATCAAGGACGATATTACCAATATGCTGCAGACTATGGAAATTTCCAGAGCCGTCGGTAACACGTGAAACACAAGAGATGAAAGTAAGAAACTTATCCCTCTGATACGGAAAATAAGAAAAGTTACTGATACGCTCAAATTTATCCAATAATTTTAACAGAAATATTAACTTTGTGCCGCGATCGATAGCCCTACTCAAGCCTCCTGTCTGACGCGAAAGATGAAAATTCAAGTCCAACTGATGTAGATGACGGAACACATTCTTTGCAACCTGACGAATAGCTTTCTGTGCCACCTTGGCAAATACCGCATTTCGCAATTCCTGGAAAACGGTCGCGCCAATTCGCGCAAGACCATCTGAATTTTGTAATCGAGTTATATTTATACTTGAACATCTCACCCCAAAAAGAAAAAAAATCAATTCGACCTACATCCAAGAATCACAGCGCCAACAACAGTCCAAACGGTTCCTATCTTTTCTACGTCTACGTTCAAGGAATCGATTATGTTTTTGAAAAAGAACGGAACTTGAACGTTGAGAATCTGTCAAAATTAATGGATGTCCAAAACAAAGAGCTAAGTCTTGATGAATGTAGGATTTAGATTCCGACAGAAAAAGAGATGTTGATTACTTTTCCTCCAACCAACAAGGACAATGCAGCCACTACACGAAGTTTAACCGAGAGATCATCCTTGGACCATATATATCCGATCAGATTTTTAACAATTTTCCAATCCGTGATCTTTTGATCGGAACCAGAAGTTTTTCCAACGGTCAAAGATGATTTTGACATTTGATCCTTGGGGGAGGCTGATGCGATTTTGGTTGCGTATCGTCGAGTTGCATTTGACAAAGCCTAAGAATTTGCAAAGTTTGTTAATGAAGCAATATCCGTCAGATGAAGAAGAATCGATAAGGATTTAAATTACCAGTCTCCTCAACGCATTCGCATGTTCCTGTACGTGATTCCACGCGTATCTCCATTTTCTCGTATGGTCGCTGGATGTGAATGGATTCAAAAATTTGATCTCCCGTTCATTCAAGCGAGGGTTGTTAAATGGGTGAAACTGCAAAGTAGTAGTTAATTTGATGAATTTATATCAATTATGTAGTTAGCGGCACGCATCATTAAAAAAAATATAATTTACTCAAAGTAGTTTCCAACCTGATTTAAAGCCTTTTTTTGAAAGGCCCTTGCGGGGAACGAAATTATCCCAACAGTTTTCACCGTCGAGTGCTGGCGTATAGCGCTTAGCCCTCGAACCAACATCACGCACGTAACAATTCTTGAAATGAAGTCAATTCTTATAGATCCTGTACAACATTCGATAATCTTTACTAGATTGGAACAAAGTTGCATTACGTAATGAGATGATGCGCTCGCCCACAAATTACCATAAACACGAGGTTCTTAGCCATTTCTTCAACACAGTGGACAGAAGTCAGAGAAATGAAATCATGAAAAGTCGGACCATACCCAATCAAATAGAAAAAATACTGCGCGAGAACATGTTTCATAAAATTTGAATGTTGATGTTTCGACAGTTTCTAATCCACGTAGAAAACGTCATAAAATTGACTGACAATCAAAATTGAATAAATAGCTGCAGTATTGTTGTATAATAATTTCAGATCGGACTTGACAATCTCGATCAGCACCATTCCCGACGTAAAAACCACCGTGCTTTTTTTGCCATACCTTTAAAACCATAAAACACCAAAACGCATCCTATTCGAGCCTCAGCGAAGGCAAAGGGCATGTCTTAATCTCTCTTTATGCAATATCTAATTCGGCATTCCCAGGCGCGTTAAAATACGTTTCAATCTTTAAGTCATCTGATTATCCATCACACGAACGCAGTATCATGTCTTCTGATCTGGACCGAATGTACATGCGAGACATGCGCTCCACCTTCGAAGACGAAAATGATTACAACGTCACTATTCAAGTCGGACAAGAGCCAAACAAAGAGATTGTCAGAGCGCACTCTGTAATATTGCGGGCGCGTTGCTCATACTTTCGTACCGCTTTATCAAACATTTGGGGACGAAAAGTAAATGAGATGTATACATTCTCCCATCCAAACATAACGTCACGAGCGTTCCGAAAGATTTTGAGGTACAGTCAAGACAGAATACCATGACACATGCATACATACGAAGTTTACCGTGATGATCGACATCCGTGTCATTCATTTACGTGATCGGATAGATCATTTATGTTTATTATATCTACCAAAATTTTTTCCATACCATTTTTAACAGATACTTGTACACTGGAGAGATGGACCTGAAGCTGGATGAAGTCAAGTCCATGTTTCTCGAGTTGCTCTCTGCCGCTGACCAACTGGAAATGGTAGAACTCATGGATCATATTCAGGAACATATCATTGATGAGGAGTACGATTGGATCTTGAACAATTTCGTAGAACTCATGAATATCTCCACGCAATATAAATCCTACGTCAAGCTTAATGATATTGTCAAGCAAATCTTGACCGAAGATCCCGCAGCACCTTTAAAGTCCAAGGACAGTCACAAACTCGACGAGACAACATTATTGGAAATTGTAAAGAGAGATGATCTTCTTATCAAAGAAATCGAGCTCTTCGAGCACATCATCGCGTGGGGAATTAGTCAGATTCCATCCCTGGACCCCGATATGACAAAATGGTCCGAGAAAGACTATGAGAATATTCGCGCAATCACCGGTAATTTATTGACGCATGTCCGGTATACAAATATTTCAGGTGTTGACTATCACGAAAAATTACGGAAGTGCAAAAAATTACTTCCGGCCGATTTATGGAAAGGCATGAAGGAATTCTATATCACTGAGAAGAAGCCCGAGGTGCTGAGAAAGATGCCATCGCGCACCTCTTGCGAGATGAATAGCTCGAAGCTCATAAGCTGGAAGAATTTCGCCAAAATCACGTACTGGATCAATAAGACGAGGAGTGACCGAGAACCGACCGCATATGTATATAGGCTTTTACTGAGGCAAAGTCGCGACGGGAAGGGACCAAAGGTATTCAACGGATTGGCGGCAAAAAAAGGTCCCACGATCGTGATCATCAAGGTTGCAGATTCTCCAAGGATTCTTGGTGGATACAATCCAGTGGACTGGGATACCTCGTTTAGCATCGAAAACACCAAGGAGAGCTTTATCTTCTCATTCGAAAATGGAAGCACCTGCAACAATTGTATCTTAAGTCGCGTCAAAAACTTTGAAAAAGCAATCACGAGCTATCCGAGACGTCATTCGTTTGATCATGACCTCGATTTTAGCGAAGGAAGGTGCGTCCCGACCTCATACGAAAGGAAAATCTTTGAAAACACCAAATTTACGATTGAGGATTACGAGGTATTTCAGGTTATTAGGAAAGAAGAATTATCTTCTGTGGAAAGTATCGTGGTGACAAAAAAACGATCAAGAGGTAACTCATTGAACGAAAATGGTGCTCGAGGCGACACGAAGAGTAACAAGAGAAATCGAGTTGAAGATTATGATTTCGATTTTTGAGTTTGATCACTCGATCTCTGTTTTATTTCTTTGACTGGCACAGCAGAAACATTGAGCAAAAAAGTGATCGATTTGACAGTCTACGAACATCGATTATCTTGTAGCAAAAAAAAAAAAAAAAGAAAGACATTCTATTGGTTCCAGGATATATCCAGCATATACCCTGAATGGCGTTTCGACGCTACTGGTAGAATTTTTGAACGAATAAATCATTCGTCGAATAAACCACGAGTCATACTAAACGACAAGTATACTCGTTTAAGTGTATATATTTTTATTTATAGCGATAATTACTGCATTTTTCTTAGATTACATTAATAGAAAGTTAATAAAAAAAGTTTCGGCACGTTCATTAATGTCAATATTTGACACCGAATAAAGCCGTATATAGTTTTCCCGTGTTTATTTCGAAATGCAACATGCTTTGACTTGGTCAAAGACGTTCGACGTTTTCAGCTACACTAATCTTTTTCGGGCAACGGACGTCATCGATCCTCCAATATATGACTATTTTTGACTGATGTAATGGATAAAAAAGTTCTCTTGAAGAATAAGCCTATTCACAGCAGATAAAGGACATCTCTTGTAGATAAGACGCATGAAACCAGATTACGCACAATTCTTTTTGAAGAAAATTATAATCCAAAGCTCAGAAACGACTCATATATTAACTTTTAGAGGTTGTGCAACTGTGGGAATAGGATTTTTTTTTTTTTCCCAAAGCTGATCGTAACCATTTGATTTGGTAAGCAATGGTTTTATCAATTAAAGCAATATTTATTTTTCGAATTAGCGAGATCTCACCCAGGGACGATGACTATTCCGGTACACAGCCACCCTCGGCAGTGGTCATATACCTACACCGAGAAAATGATGTAATGAATAAATATTATGATCTCGTGCTAAATGAACAGACGTAACATCGGGATTTTACGTTCGAAAAAAACAAAAATCTATGGAGCGGAGAGCTGAAACCGGTGTACCTTATTATACAAGATTACCTTCAATATAAAGTAAATCTGTGGAGCGAGTCTTCATTGTTTGTTTGTTATATGTTTGCTCAACACGAATAGATTTGCGTGTACGTTCACCAAACTACCGATAACGCGCAACGTCATGACTTATTACACGTCCATGGTATGGTGCTTAAAACAATGGTTCCAACAAGGTTTTTGTTCTTTCGATATTAGAAATCATGCGTCAAGCTTGTTTGTTTTGAATTCGGGGTGCCCCATGATTGATCACTTTATCAACGGGAATATGTTTACAAGCCTACTTTTGAATCCAACTATCAAGATCAAATCAAGTTTCTTTTCCCGGATCACCATTGAACCGAATGTGTTAAGTAATCATCGAAAGTCTTTATTCTCTTTTTAAAACAGGTCTGAATCTTTCATGTTTGTAGAAATGGATTTTTTTAATTTACTCAACCGGTTCACATTCTGAATTGCTAATGGTTTACTTAAAAATTATATTTGAAAATTATAGTTATAATAAATTTAATTTAATATTTAATATGTAATCTTTAAAATAATGTAATCGTGGCGTTATAAGGTTGCGTAACCTGGGAATGATCTATAGCTGCGGTGAGCCGAAATTTTGTGGTTAATTAAATACAGAATGTGGACAAATAAAAAAAGTAGGGCTTACACAACGAGTAATGAGGGTATTCGTGTTACACATTACGTATCGCGTTATAATTGCCATTTTAGAATAAATGGTCTGAGGATTTTATTATAGACATATTAAAATTAATCCCTTTGATCCGGTCAAACTCCTTGTACTATTATAGGGGAATCAACAATTATATGCGAATATCACGCTACAAGATGATTCTCTTGAAAAAAAAAAAAAACAACGATAGAACCACGGGATTCTTGTGTGAAAACCTTTCAGGACGCGTACGGTGGATTATAGAAATAGCCATGCATTGATTTTCCTTCTACGCCCAAGATGATTTCATATATTGATATGAGTGATAAAATATAATGGTGAGATGATGTTTACATATTGTGTATGTATATATGTTTTGTCCCTTGTCGTGATTCTTCGCCCCGACAAGAAATTTAGTTCTTGGCCCAATTTGGAACTGGCCTGTTAAAGCAGTTGGAACAATCACGCATGAACTTCTTCACTCGGTCACTCAGGAATTGATCGTCTGTACAGTAGGCTTCATACAGGAGACCTTTTGCCAACTCATAATTATTCTCATCCTTCATTAAACAATTAAATGCATATTCGATCTTCGCCTCGGCGTTAATATAAACTTTCTCTTCTTCTTCCACCACGAGCTCCCAACTCGCTGCTTCCTTAAGTAGTCTGTCGGATTCCTCTCGCATGCAGGGATTCAAAAAATATATTCCACTCAACAGATATTTGGCGTGATGATAACCTTGGCTCACGGGCTTCTGAAGTCGTTGGATGATTCGCTGGATCTTTATGGGATCAATGTTACCTTGACGGTTGAGCTCGGTGAATTCGTAGTCGCACACTCTGAATTGTGCATGAATGTGATGAGGTTCGTAGTATTTGAAGATTTTGTAGGCTTTGGAGTCGTGTCTACTAAGTTTTGGACTCTCGGTAGTCATTATCTTTTCGGCGGTTAACAATTTATTGACTATTTCGGGATATTGTGATTTTTGTAGGCTGTTTTGCGGACAAGATGAGATCATGTGATTTAAGACGAGCGATGTTAAGATCCAGATCAAGGCGTGTCGAAAATATCTTACCTCAACTCAATCATGTATTGATTGTCGTTAACAAACTGAAATGCGTGGTGATTTGATTCGTCCATTTTTCGCATCAAACATTGTAGAGCGTTCAACCAAAGATCCTTTAAATTCTTTAGAAAAATATTTGCAGAGTATTATTAGGCTGACGGTTTAAGTGAGTATTGAAATCAACTTGAGAAGAAAAAAAAAAAAAAGTCAAATAAAAAAGGGTGCGAGGGAGATGACTTTATATATAGTACCACGTACATTTAGCATCTGATGCAGGTAACAGTGAATTAATATCACGGCACATTTATTAAGAGTGTTTTCCTATGCATTGTTCTATTATGTTTTTGGTTTATATAATGTGGTACTATAATAGATTATTACGTACGCAAACATACAGTTTGTAGCCGTAAAGAGATGCAGCGTGTTATTAAAATAACTTTCCTTTTTAGTAAATATTATACGCCACCACTAACATGCATGTACGCTTATATGTATTTGATCATAATACGTACGACCACCGGGTGATCATGGCTATCTTGCATTTATCGTTGTAAATTCCCTAACAACATCATCCCGGAAATACACGTCATCTTGATACTAGAAAATTTTCTTTTTTTCCGAACATATGCATTGCATTTCGGCGGCGCAGTTTTCTTCCAATTCACGTACCGGTAAATTCTCGAGAAAGAAAAATGCGTATGCCCAAACGATCGCGACACAACCAATGAACTATTAAAACACATGATCAAGTTATTGAAAAGAGGCACTAGCTTGGAAAGACTAGGCGAACGATTATTTTCATATGCGCGGGTGACCAAATAAATTAAGAATGAAAACCTTTCTCATCTACGTGTTGGGTGGTCGGGAATTTTGAATTTGGACAACCGGCTAACTTCCAACTTGTGCTTTTTTTTTTTTTTTTTTCCCACGCGAATCAAATCATCCGACTAGTATCAAAATAGAACTCCTTTGAAACATCAACTCGAACATCATTTCTCTTTCAACGCATGCATGTGTCGATTATCACGTGACAAGAGGGAGAGCTGTCGCATATCAACGCGGAATGGTAAACCCGAAAAAGAACCTGATAAAAGGAATTACACTTGGGGTTGTCAATTGTACCCGAATGAAACGATGAGCCTCCCTACACTTGCCATTCTGTTTTATGTTCACCCCATTTTTTGCACGTCAAAAATCATGTGAGGTCATCGTCCTTTTGATCTATGATATAATATATATTTTTCTTTTCTTTATGATATAATATTTATCCATAATTTTATCAAAATAATAAATCAATAATAAATAAATAAATCATAAAAAAAAATCATTTTATATTATTTTACTATTATATTAATTTATTATTATTAATTTATTATAATTAGAATTGAAAATAAATTAAATTAAATAAATTAAGTTGTAAAACATAAGAAACCAGTTTCTGTGATTAATCTTAAACAATTGATTCTTTTTTTAAAAACATTTAAAATGTTTCAAGTATTTTTATTTTGTTCATTTGCTTAAACGGGTTCGTTAATTTGGGAGTAATAAAAAAACTTTGATCAGAAAAAAACAATGAAAGATTTAAAATTACAAAAAAAAAAAAAAAAAGTTTTTTTTGTTAAAAAAACATTTCTATAATCACTAGAATTTCTAAAACTCGTTAATGCATGCTTCATTTTAAAAAATTTGGCTTGTCCAATTTACCTCAAGATGACATTTTCTTGAGAAAAATTGTTTCTTTAAGAATTATTCTATATTTTTTTTTCTATTCAGATTTAATTTACTCATCCAAAAGATAATAAAAGAAATCATATTATTATTATCATTATTTTTATTTTTATTTCTTATTTTTCTGAAAATTAAAAATAAAAGTTCGATCAATTCGATTTGTGTTCCGGATTCTTATTTTATCATTGAATTTGGTTTCAATAAGAATGGCTAAAATTCATTCACAAAACTACAAATGTTTCGAATCTAAGAGAATAGAATTTGGTAAGACCGCTAAAAGTCTTGTGACACAAGGGTGAGTGAATGAGAAAATGATGTGGTTTAAATCTGAGACATTACGATCTGAATCCGTGTTTATGAAAAAACATATTCTCCAATGGAATTTTCAAAATACCATTGAACAGCCGCAAACAGAAAATCACTTCATTCTGCCAAGAATTCCTATCTAAATTATTGGCAGTGGCTTAGCAAGCACTGCATGAATGCTTATTAAATACTCATATGCTACAAATAGTAAGTGCAATTCAAAATTATCACTTCCTAAATTTTCATTCAAATGTCCGAGTCTAACGAGCAAAATGGTTCCGCCAGCAAAAAGCCAGAAAGTGTAAAAGAAAATGGTGTCAAGGTAGAACTTGATGACAAGACTATGGCTCTACTAAAACAGAATAAAAACATGACTGAAACACAAGGACATGAAGAGAGCATTGGGAATCAAGAAATTCCGATTTTTGAAAGGATCGTGTTGAATAAGTTTTACAGTTTCATGAGTGATGAATCACCAAGTCAGGCTGGAAATTCTCATGCACCTACACCTAGTGATTCCTCTCGTCAAGTATCGAGGCGTTACACCACCAAACGAAGACCAGTATCAATTACGTATTCACCTTCCGCAGCTCGACTTTCGGCTCCTTACATTGAAGAACAACGCCCCGAGCGACCAGAAATTATGAAACATTTGTCGAATGAGCAAATTGCTGGGAGTTCTGTGGTTCCCGAAGCCGGTCCATCTGAAGAGAGCGAAGGTGACTCAAAATTTTTGAGCAAGAGTTGATTTAATTGACAATTATTTATGATGATTATATTCTCTTAAAATTTCCAACATAGGAAATACCCGAAGATCTGCGCGGGAAAGTTTAAAAGCGAGTGTTCGCAAAGCAATCAACTTGGCAAATGTTAACAAAATGTTTGCTACCTTTGATAATAAAGAACACTTGCAAACGGTGGAAAGCATGGGTGTTCTAACGTTCCCTAGTGCTATGATGGTGCCGTTTTTATGGATGAGAAGAGATCATAGGGGGAAGAAAGCGGTACTGCTTATATTTCTTTTTTTTTTTTTTTATGTGTGAAATAATGAATGTTGGTATTTAAACAAGTATTCAAATCATTGTTATTTAGCCCCCGATCATAGTCAACCTTCTGAAGGCAAGAATTTACAAATATTAGTGATGAGCTTTTTATTATAAATTCAAATATTTATGCTTTCTGGCCTATAATTTTATCGATTAGCTTGCTATCACAGATTCATATGTCGATGAAGATTCCTATAATTGGCAAAGCACTTTTAGAATTGAATTGGAATATGGTGATGTTAAATGGGTAGTCAAGCGAACAGGATTTGATTTTATTTATCTCCATGTCAATCTGAGTCGAAGGGCGGAACTACCACCGATTCCAAAATTCCCTTCTGGTCTTAGTGCTTGGTTTAAGACAAATGTACTACGTAATTCCCGATTTCAAGAGTCTGCACTTGGAAGACGCAAAGAACTGGAAAACTATCTCCTCGAGTTGATAAAACTCTTGTCTTTACATGTTTCCTATGATCTCTACGAATTTCTGGAACTCAGTGCGATTTCTATTACCACAGACATGGGGTGGAAAGGCAAAGAATGTTACATGTTGACAAAGGTGGAACGATTGAAGAAACCCATATGTTCTTTTATAAGATCAAGCGAAAAATGGGAACGTGAATGGGTGATAGTTCGCGATTCGTATCCTTTTTCATTTTCAACTTTTGTATTTTCTTTGTTTCATAAATTCACAATACCTGACTACATAAATTGATCAGATATATTGCATTTTGCAGAGATATCAGCGATACAACACCAGTCGACGTTTTCCTTCTGGACAAACATTTCAAATGTGAAAAACTTATGCAACAAGGATTCTCTAGAATCTTGCAACTTCATGATCATATTAGTATAGAAAATAGTTTCAGACGAATCGAGATCAAGAGTGATTCACGCCACATGAAGGACTTCTTGGAAAGCATCGATAGAATTAAAATTTCTTCTCCATGGGTTAAACAACATAGATTTGATTCATTCGCACCTATCAGAGAAGATACAAAAGTTAAATGGTATGTTGATGGCAAAGATTACTTTTACGCTGTTTCCCAAGCGCTGTTGGCCGCAAGATCAGAAATTTATATTGAGGATTGGTGGTTGTCTCCGGAATTGGTGAGTATTAAGAGTATGTTTATAATGTGTACCACTTGATTTATGAAAATATGCATTAAACGTTTTATGTAGTATCTCCGTAGACCTCCATCTGAGAACGAAGAATTTCGGTTAGACCGTTTACTCAAAAAGAAAGCAGAGGAAGGTGTAATGATATATATCGTGGTATATAAAGAGGTGTCGTTAGCTTTGACTTTGGATTCTCATCATACCAAATTCTACCTCCAAGATCTTCACAAAAACATCAAAGGTTTGTAGTGATATATTTGCATCAAACGCCCTTGAGGTGTACAGCAATTATATTAATGGTCTTGATCTCTACGAATTAGTCCAACGTCATCCGGATCACATTGGCATTGAAGGGACAGTGTTTTGGGCGGTGAGCTCAGCATTCTTTATCATATTGTCGGGTACCCGTAAAGATTTGGACATTGTTTATATAAATCATGATCTCAAATTTATATTTTATATCCGAGTTTTTTACGGGTCCTGATATATGTATCTATGTACTTGATCATGAGTTATTAATCACTTATCACTCGATTCATTTTCAGCATCACGAGGTACGAATTTTCGCACGTCACATATAATAATGCATATTTATTTATCGATGTGTTGGATCTTATAAACTTTAGAAAATGGTGGTTGTTGATAGCCGTATCGCTTTTATTGGAGGGTTGGATTTGTGTTTCGGACGTTACGATACTCATGCACATGAGCTTTCTGATTATAATGCGAGTAATGAAAATCCAACAATATGGCCCGGACAAGATTTTTCCAACCCCAGGATAAAAGATTTCCAGAATGGTGAGAAAGGGTATTTTCATACTTGGGGTTGTGGTGGATAAGAAAGTGATAGTAAAAGATGCCGAGCACGATTTAATGATATTATTTTGAATTATATAACATAGTTTCCGATTTTAATGCCGAAATTATCGACAAATCACAATGTCCTCGCATGCCATGGCATGATGTTTCGATTGGCATGGTCAGCATTAAATTTAAGTAATTGCTCTCGATGGATCTCGATATAATTGTTATTAGAAATGGACATATGTATATATGCATTCTTTAAAAACTAGGTTGGTACTCCGGCTAGAGATGTTGCTAGGCATTTTGTGGAAAGATGGAATTTCGTTAAAGAAGAGAAATCCAGTGAACGTGAGGATTTACCTTTCTTAACACCAAAGGGCGAATACGTCAGCACTCGAGACGAAAGTCAATTCAAGGGAACTTGCAAAGTACAGGTCTTACGCAGTAGTGCATTTTGGAGTAGCGGAGTCAAAGATGAGGTGAACATCTATTTTAATATTCCACCTTTTTCCATTTGAGAATTATATAATATGATTAAATGTGTTGATCGCATCCTTTTATGTTAGAATTCTGTCTATAATGCTTATTGCGAATGCATTCGATCCGCCAAACATTTTATTTATATCGAAAATCAATTCTTTGGTAGGCCTTTGTCATCAACTTTGCTTTATCCTTTTATTATTTTTTTTTCAATATTCACGTTTACTTTTTTTTTAAATAACAGTTACATCGACTGAAAATGATCCTGATTACGCCATTAAAAATCGAATCGGCGGGGTAACTTTCAATAATTTAAACGTGTCTCATCATCATATTTGTTGATTGTTTATTGAAATAAAACTTTATTTAGTTTCTTGTCGAGCGAATTGTTAAGGCACATCATTCAAAGGAGAAATTCCGTGTTATCGTGGTTATGCCTTTGTTGCCAGCATTTGAGGCGGAGCTAAAATCGAAAGATGCCGGGACAATACGGTATACATTTTCTTTGTCAAACATGTTCCACGCTATTGTTACATTATTGACTGACTTAATATTCAATTCATTCCACAGTATGGTTATGCACTGGCAATATGTCTCAATTTGTCGTGATGGTAAGTCAGTCTTGGAAAAAATATCAAGTTTCGGAATTAATCCAGAAGATTATATATCATTCTTCGCTTTACGAAATTACGGCAAGATCTTTCATTCTGGAAAGGATAAGGGAAAACAGAGTGAAAATTCAATTCTCAGAAATTCATCAGGCGGACCTGTTATACCAAATGGAAATTTGGAGAATGGCTCAGAAAATATAATTCATTCTCAGGAGAACACTGGGGATTCATTTTCAGATGAGAGAGTACATATCGCCCCAAATTCTGTTGGAAGTGACCCAGCTATGCCTGCTGGAGTTGAACAAACCGACCCTAATCATAATTATGTAACAGAAGAAGTGTACATTCATAGCAAATTGTTGATTGTCGATGATCGTTGTGCTATAATTGGTTCAGGTTTGTTTGTAATAATATTTATTTGATCGGCCTTAATTTTATTTAACTTAATCAAAATTGATTTTTTTTTTTTTTTTTAGCTAATCTAAACGACAGGTCACAGCTTGGTGTTCGTGACTCAGAGATTGCGATTATCGTGGAAGATATGGAAAAAGTGGATTCACGCATGGACGGCAAAGAGGTTCGCTTTATTCACGCATTGTTTGTTCATGTTTTTGACAATGTTGTTGAGGCCAATTATTTTTTCCTACCAATTCACAGTACAAAGCTTCTAAGTTTGCATATACGTTGCGCAGCAACTTATTTAAAGAGCATCTTGGTCTTATTGAACATCAAGACCACTCTACACTTACAAAAAGCTGTTTACCACCGCTTCAACCCGAAATATTACTCGACCTGTTACAAGACAAAGACAATAAACTTGGCACATTAATTGATGAACAAGCATCAAAATCACCAAATAAACATCCGACAAAGCATGACTTGGTAGTCATGGATCCATTGTCTGATGAATTTTATGCCTACTGGCAAACCACAGCAAATCATAATACTGACACATATCGTTCAGTATTTAGATGTGTTCCTGACGATAATGGTACGCCTTATTCTCTTAGTTTGAACATTATTGCTCTCATTAAAAATGATCCTAACAAATGTCTCTGCTTTTAAACAGTTGTTAACTGGGAGAGTTATGATCAATTTGTACCTGACTCTACACTAGTTCCGACAGGCCATGTAGCAAATTCCAAGGCCAATTTAGAAGAAGTCAAAAATAAATTATCAAACATTCGTGGGCATTTGGTTAATTTCCCACTTCACTTTTTGGAAGGCGAAAACTTATTTGGGAGTGTAATTTCAAATGCAGTCACCCCCGTTGAAATTTTCACATAACCTTATTATTCTATTAGCGGACAATATCTTATTAGTATTTATTTCGTAGATTTTAATAGTTTATTATATCCTATACTAATGTTGATCCATTTATTATTTTCATTTTAGTTTCAACAAACATTTTATTTATTATATATGTAGAGATCTTTAGAAAATTTGGGCATTATAACTTTAATAACTTCTTAGCGAAGCCTTTATTCAAATTTAAAAATATTACTCAAAATTGATTGTGGCGCTGAACAAATAAATTTAATCGTTTTTCAACTCTCGCGACGATCAAATTAACTTATAATTTTATTATGGAATCGACAATTTTCGACATTTTTGTTCTCTCATTTACATAAAAAATATTTATATACTATCATTGTGATTAATTTTTGTAAAGTAGAAAATAAAATTATGATGGTGGTAACATTCCTGGTCTTGACAAAATATTATAACCAAAAGAATCTTCATTCGATCTGCTATTTGTAGCTTTCCTACGTCCGCCACGATTTCCCCAACTTCTCTTTCTATTCCTACCCCCGAATCGCAATTGCTCACTCGGAGTATTATTATTTGTCGTTTGTGACACATTAGGTATTATCGCACCAATCAACTCTGTTGCATTGACGGGCATATTTGTAATTCCCTCGGAAAGTTTTATTTTGCCCTCGCTAGAGTTAATTACCTCCGGCTTCGCATTATCTTCACCATGCTGATGATATCTAATGATGCATATATAAAGGCGTTAAGAAAGATAGGTTCACAAAAAATTTAGAAGATCACAACAGAATCTCACCGAGTTCTTTGTCTTTTCAACAACTTTTTGTGTTGTGATTCTTTTTCGTCATCTGAAAAATCCAATTCCTGTTTTACAAAATAGCGTAAATTTTACCTTCACTAAGATATCCGGAGGAAGTCTATGTGATCGGTAAATACAAACCTCACCGCTCACTTCTTCATCGTAAACATTACTTGCATCACACCCCTTCATCTCTCGAATTATCGGGGTGAATGCGTATTTTATTAATTCAGGAGAAGTGAATACCTTAGCATCTTTCACTACCATTTTCTCACTATATTCGCTTTTTTCGTTGAATCTAATTACGTATAATGGATGATGTATTGGTCCCATAGTTTCAAAGATCTAAAGAAAAAGGAGTCGTTAAATTGTTCCGAAACGTTTTCGTAAATTCATATAGAAGAGTAACTCTGAGTAATCCTTACTGTTCCCAAAACATTTGGACCCTGCAATAACAAGACTGTCCCAAAATCTAAAACTTGAGTCTCACCGGACATATTGGATTGTACGATCACTTGATCTTCAACAACATGGAGTATGGTACCTATCTCGATAAGTTCCATATCTGGGCTTAACACCACCTCAGGCTTTGGAACCAATACATTAACAATTTCATTTTTTGTCATCAGCGGCAACGAGCTTGACGGAATATTGCTTTCTGCGTTCAATATTCTATCAATCATATCAACGCCATTTTCAAAGCTTCCTGAATCAGACATCTCGTCTTCTGAAGTGACGTAACTATCATCTGAGGATTCAATACTGATCAAGAAAATACGTTAGTATGTTTTAAATACATTAGGATAGTCGCAATTCTGGCTATTTTACCTTTCTTCTGATGAAGATTGACTTCCTCCTTCTCGATTTCTATTCTGAACACTGGACCCTGAGAATTCTTCATTACTATTAAATTGTGGTGGTGGTGTCGTTGAAATCTCTATATTCGGTTCGAAATGCAGAGAAGAGGTACTATCGATTGAGAGACAATCATCCTTTGTCATAGAGATTCCAGGAGATAGAGAACAAGTGGTGTGTGAAATAGATTCGAGATCTGAGAACTCCGGAGAAACAGGCTCTTCTTTGGCCACGCTATATTTATGCGAAAAAACATCTGGTGTATAATAACATGGTTTTTTCTCTGGTAATATATTTATGTCAGGAGATAGCCGTCCTAGTTTGACTTTGATTTCTTCATCAAAACTAGCCGTTGATTCGGAATTCCATACCATGTCCTCGGAAGCGCAAGAAAACTCTGTAACCGAAGGCATAGTGTTCATATGCTGATGCAAATGTTATGAAAAAAGGATATGTTAATTTGGTTATAATTATTTTTTGACGCGATTCGAAAAAAAATTCTGTAAATTATTCGAATTCAGATTTTGATCCAATTAGAACGATTCCGATAATTTCATTTGTAGGTTACGAACGCTTATGATTCATTACCGAATAGTTGGAAATGCTAGTTCCCACTAAAACCACCTCCTCTTCCGACTCATCAGAATTACAATCCAAGTTCTCATTACTCGTGTCTATATGCTCCTCGGGTTTTATGCATTGAACATTAGCCCGAGGTGGTGTGAGTTCTTTTAAATGAGGCGATTGCGAAGTTTTTTTCAATTCGGCTCGAAAAATTGAAGTGTCAAGAGGTTCGGCGAAGGGATTTAAAATAGTGGTTAGACGGCTATTATCCGAACCATTATCGAAATTCGAATTCATGTTCAAAATACTGCTCTTGTTGACGCGAATGAAGAATGATCGCCTGGATTCAAATTTATATTAGATGAGCTAGCCAATCATGATTTGGGATTTTGTAATAAACCATTTTTTTTTCTTCTATTTACTTTTCGAAAAGCATATTATATGGTTTATAACCAGTAGCTAGCTACTATTTATTTATTTAAATATTGTATACCTTTTATTATAAATTTTAAATTTAAAGTTAAGAATTTTTTTTTTGTAATTTTTTTTTTTAAAGATCAAATATATAACAATACATATTTTTTTATTAATAATTAATATTTAAGCAGTATTTTTTATAACTGAAATCATTTGTACTATACATGTGGTGTAAATTATTTTGCTGTTGACTCAATTCCCAAAATCCTCAAAAATAATTGTGTCATGACTCAATTATTTATATGTTTTAATAGTGACTCAATTAATTGCATCAAATAATTGCATCAATTGCATCAAGGATTTATAAATTTCAGTAACATGTATAATTCCAATAATCAAATCTAATAAAAAGGAGATAATAATATGAAAATATTTTATAGTTAATTGATCAGATTCATTAATACATATTAATAGAAAACAAAAAGTAATTAATTATATTAGTATTTTTAATAATAATTTATTATAATATTTAAAAGAAATTAATATTAAAAAAACTTGTAAGTCCAGTACCAAATCCCAGTCCACTATTTTGGTACTTACATAACTCAAATTATATCATCAAAATATACAAAAGAAGCCGAAGTATAAATGAAAGAACAAATCTCAAAGGAAAACACTATTCTGTTAGTCCAAACAACACTCTGTCCAGATGCAATGGCTGCCCAATAGGCTCACACTTGGCTGGCTTCTGCACATTGTCATTTACAAGTCCTACAGCATCCTCATTGTGGATAGTCTCAAATTCTAACAGCACAAGCAAGCACCAACTATGCAACATAATTAGTGAACTGTTCATCATGCCACAGCAAGGAGAGAACATTCTTCAATTTGTTGACAATTTTTCCATCTTCCCTCCCATATTAGCACTCCAAAGAATTGGCTTTTGCCAACAGTATCACTTTCAACTTTATCAGAACAAGATCTTTGTGAACAGTACAAAAATAATACCAACCAGTCCAGAACATCCTTTAGGAGACTTCCTTAATACAATAATAGACATCTTATATTGATGCCCGTCAAGCTGTACCATTGAAATAAGAAGTAATAAGAAAATTCTTCAAGAAGTATCCGATTATTCAAGAAGAATGACAAAGATTAACTTTGCTCCAATATTGTAAAAAATTAACAAATTAATTCAAGACAAATCAATCCAATACAGATACACCAACCCTAAATTCAAACCAAGATTCAACGACACTATTTAATGGCTTAACTCACCACTTCACTTCTTGGAAAGCCCACCAATCAACAATCTACAACTAGGCAGCAGTGTTAGATGGTGCAAGAAAATTCTAAGCATCACCAAAATCTATATAATTTGTGAAAGCTCCTCAGTCCTCAAAACATTTGGACATATTCACAACCCTCAAGGCCTCCAAATCA